GGGGTTGAAGACTGCCAGAAATAATACAAATTGAGTCCACTTTTAGAGTTAGGGTTAGTGCTAGGGAATCATGGGAATTTTTTTTTCCTAAGACATTGAGCCTTCTCTGTCAGAGAGCTCTGGTGGCACAATAAAATACAGTTCCCATGATTCCCTAACCCTAACCCTAAAAGTGGACTCAATTTGCACTATTTCTGGCAGTTTGCAAGCCCCCTTAGTTCCCCACCTTCAGCCTTTCAAGCTCAGCTTTCATCAACCTTGTGTAAACTCACAGGTTCCTTTTAAGCAATTTGCCATACAAATCCAATTTTCTTTACGCATTTTCCACCCCTGTGTATTTAGAAAGTCCCCCCCAGCCAAGTGTAGCTTGGAAGGGGGATGAAGATATTTCCCCTCCCAAATTAAAATTTCCTTCCGTTGCTAAATTTCTAGCATTACAAGAGTGAGATATGACGATCATTCCCAGCTATTTGTTGTGTTCACATTCCCTTGAGAAATAGAAACTCTTATTTCTAAACGCTCAGCTGAAATTCTAAGTTACTGCAATGCTAGAAATTTGGTGACTGGATTAAGATTTCATTTGGGGTGGGAGAAGTCTTTAATGAGAGAGCAGGGCTTTTATTTCCTCTCCTCCCCTTTTCCCAGGTACCTTATTTTTGTGTGATCCTGTTGTACTTCCAAATCAATAGGCACTGAACAATCTTGAGTTCACTGTTAGCAACCATGAAGCTCGGCAGATAATGAGTGCAATTCTATATTGTATAAAGAATTACACTAGGGAGGAAAAATAAGATTGTGTGGGGCAGAGGAGAATTGAGCTCAGGTACATTCAGAATGTTCTGCCATCTAATTCCTTGTACTTGATGTTTGGATATGTTTGTTTCTAAGGGAAAAGTAAGAAATGGTTTTTTCTCCCTTGTAAAATGGGATATGTTTCTAGTATAACAATATAATTACTATTTTCTCAAATGCTGACAGGCCCCAGCTGCTGAAGTAACTGATGACAAAGAAGCCAAGTCCGAGTAACCAACTTAGATCTCTACATTTCCATCATTTGGTATCCGTACCGCCATACTGTATTGTTAAGAGAGGAATATTTTTATCAACTATTTTATAAATGCAGGTTTTTTTAGCATGAATTTAATTATGGAACATCTTCATCTCGGCTACTTGGGACTTAAACCAACAAAAACAAACAAAATCATTGTTTTCAAAAAAAAAATTGTGATTGTCATAGTTTGTATGGTACCTGGAAAGAATCAGTGGTGGTAGCTATTGACTTCTGTCAGTATATAATCCCTTTGTGTGTAAGTCATACAGACTTCAGATTGTAATTTCACCCTTGTTATGTGTTGTACGTTTTCTTAACGTGGGGAGGTCTCAAAATAACAAAACAAAACAAAAAAAACCACACATAAAATAATTGCGTCAGACATTCCGGTGGTTCTGTGGGTTGCTTTTATAAAGAAGGTGAGATATTTTCTTGAAAAATCCTTAGAAGCTGGAAATCTTGTTGTATCCCAAATGTAGTTTTATTTTGTCACATTTTGGAGAATAATAATAATAATAATAAGTGTAATCATGTTTTTAAATGAAATACAAAAAAACTTTAAAAAAAAGAGAAGGGCAAGTTGACTGAATATAACCCACTGTTAGGAATTTTGCTGGATTTATCTTAATAAAAAAAAGACTCCTCGAAAGATGCCTTGTGGTCTACTTGCTTATGTTGTAGCTACATATTTCTAAGATGATCAAATTGAGGCTGTCATACTCTGTGCGCATCATGAAATGGGACAATAATGCTAGGAAAGATGGAGGGCAGTAGAAAGAGAGGAAGACCATATGCTAAATGGATAGACTCAATCAAAGAGGCCACAGGTCTGAAGTTATATGAACTAAGCAGAACAGTGGACAGCAAGGAGTCTTGGAGATGTCTCATCCATAGGGTTGCCATGAGTTAGGGTTGACTTGAGGGCAGTTAACAACAAAATAGCATATACTTCTGCAACTACCATGCTCATTTCTTTGAAGACAAAACAGAGGAGAAATGCACCTAGCAGGTCACGTTTGACACTATAAACTTGTTTTCAAGAGGAGAAGAGGTAAACCATATGATGAGATCTCCTGTGCTTCTGTTGTGTCCAAGATTCTGGAAGTCTATAAGTAATTTAAAGTAAATAAGAAATTGAAGAGATGGGTGTTTTTTAAGTGGTAAAGAAACAAGCGTTTGAAGGACATAAGGGATAGAGCTGAAATCAGCACTGTCATGGCCTCGAGGTCCCATTCACTGTCTCCCGCAGCTGCTGCATCAGACTCTGGAGGTCCCATTCAGGATCTGACAATGCCCTTTCTCACTCATCCAGCAGTCCCACCCTGGTGCCACAGTGGTTAAATCCCAGTCCTTCAGCCACAAGGTTGTGAGTTCGATCCCAGGGCTCCAAGGTTGACTCGGCCTTCCATCCTTTCGTAGGTCGGTAAAATGAGTCCCCAACTTGTTGGGGGCAATTGGCTTACAGATTGTAAACCACTTAGGGAGTGCTGATTTCACTAGGTAAAGGTAAAAGTAGTCCCTTGACACGAATGTCTAGTCGTAACCAACTGTAGGGAGTGGTGCCCATCTCTGTTGTCTGAGAACTACTCTGGTGGTCATGCGGCCAGCACAACTGCATCAAAAGCTGTTACCTTCTCACTGAGAAGTGGTACCTATTTATCTACTTGCATTTGCATGCTTTCGAGTTGCTAGGTTGGCAGAAGCTGGGACTAGTGAGAGGAGCTCACTCCATCATGCAGAACCCAGGCCTTGAACTGCCAACCTGCCGATCTTCTGATCATCAGAATTGGTGTCTTAACCTCTAAGCCACCATATCCCTTGAGTTCACTATTAAGCAGTATAGAAATGTAAATTGCTATTAGATGTACCTTCCAATTGGGTGTCACCTGGTGCAGTCCGCTCCCCTGTATCCTATGATGCCTCTGCCATTACCTTGCTTTGCCCAACCCTATCCACATAAGCAAAGCCTCATGCAACCTATGGTTGTTCTGCATTGTTCTTGCACCTTCAGGCTGCTGAGAAACCTAAAACCCAGAAACTAGGAGGAAACAAAGAACTGGTACAATGGGTCCTTGGTATCTGCTGGGGTTTGATTCCCGGACCCCCTGCCCCCGTGGATACCAAAATCTGTGGATGTTCAAGTCCCATTAAATGCAAAAGTGTAGTAAAATGATGTCCCTTATATATAAAAAAGCAAAATCAAAGTTTGCTTTTTGGAATGCATATCTTTTTGGAATATTTTCAAGCCACGGATGGCTGAATGTGTGGATAAAGGATCCGTGGATATGAAGGGCCGACTGTACGGTAATTATTGTTCGGTGCTTAAGAGACTAGAGCCATTTTCATGAGATGAAAAACTACAATGAATGCCCATGTTTCATTGTAGTTAACTCAAGATGAGTGTGAGTAACAGCTATTAACTCAATTTTATGAAGCTGTATGTGCAGCCTTAGCTGTTTGTGTTATTTAGCTTTTAATTTTATTCTAAATTGAGGACAAAAAGGTAATTTTTGATTTTATTTATCGTTTTAGAAAACATGTTAAATATCTGATTTTTTTCCAAACAATTTTTATCCATCCTGATAACAATATTCAACATTAGTATGCAAATACTACTAATAAAATAATGCTAATAATCCCATCTGCAACACTGTCTATTCTCTGGAGCCTGGGATGTATATAATAAATTGCCAGAAGTCAGAAAATTCTCCAGCGCAGTCTCTCCATCTAATGCATTTTTGTATGCATTTTAATTGTATCCCAGTTTGGAAATGACTCTTGGTGCAAAACAGAAGTAGTAAATATATCATGTCAAATTACAGAACATAGATCGACCCCATACTTTTCACGTTATGTTTCCAAATGTCTACTAGGCAGCATTTGCATTTATAGTGTTTGGGATACACACACATTCACATGAATATGCCTGCAGATTAATGTAGGATGAGTAACCTTTAGTATCAACAGCATGCACAAAACACACAGAGCCTCAAATCTGCTTAACTTTTTAAAAGGCAAGATCAGGCTTCTTTGGATCCTTTCAGCCATCTGTTTCGGAGAGAGGGCAGCTGCTGCATCTGAATAGGCGATGGATGGGTCCTATCATTTATTCATCCTGAAGGCCTTACTGCTCAAAAGCCACCAGCATTTCTGATGGCAATGTGACTAGCGATAACATCATTTCGCATGCCACTGAATAAGTGACAAGCCAAAAAGATTTTTTCAAAGGTTACTATGAAAGAGTATTGCTTGAGTATCCAGTTCTGAAATCGAAAAAATTTCTATTTCAAACCCAGATTTCTATTCCAGGCTCCTGTACACTTTTGTGGATTTAACTGGAGATATATATATATAAATCCACAAAAGTGTACAAGAGCCCGGAATAGAATACACACAAATAATAATAATAATAATAATAATAATAATAATAATAATAATAATAATAATACAATTTATTTATACCCCGCCCCTCTGTCTAACAACCAGGGTGGCTTACAACAATTAAAATTACAACCAGAAATACAGATTAAAAAACATAAAATCCTGCTGCCCCCATTAAAAAAAGTATTTAACTACATATCTTTTTAAAAATTTTAACATAAAACATCACCAAATAAAATAGGCTAATTGGAGAGACTATAAACAAATAAGAGCAGTGGGAGAGCCAAAACCTGAAAGAGGTAGAGACACCCAAACTCCTGAGGCCAGGAATCTAATGAGAAAAGGCCTGCCAATATAAAGGCCTGCCAATATAAAGGCCTGCCTGGGTTTTAGGTGATTCACAACTGTAGTACAGACCAACTTTGACTGCTCCAATCGGCTGGAATTACACCAAGGGATTTATACATTTGATTAGTTTTCTGTCCTTATGACAGGGCAGCATGCATTTCAAAATTAAAATAGCATTTCCAGAATTTCTTAATGAAATTTCTAAACCTAAATGGAGGCAGCTGAAGCGTGGCGTAGTGGTTTGAGTGTTGGACTACAACTCGAGACCAGAGTTCGATTCCCAGCTCAGCCATGAAACTCACTGGGTGGCCTTGGGCAAGTCACACTCTCTCAGCCTCTGAATAGATCCTGCCAAGAAAACCCCAGGATAGGTTCACCTTAGGATCGACATAAATCAGAAATGACTTGAAGGCATACAGCAACAAAAATGTTCAGACTAGCGTCTCAGGCACAATAGGAATTTCACACCTGCTGAAATTCCCTCTTTCGTACAATTAGAAAATTGTAGAGGCATTCTTGCTTTTGAAAATTATAGTACTTTGTTATCTCTTGTTTCATCTGAACTGTTCATTTTTATAGTTTTAATCTGCTGTATTGCCTGTAGGTGGGGTTCATGTCTATGAGTACAGTCCTGCAAGAGAATGCTTCTTTTCCTATTTAACACAGCAAATGGCTGAGATTATTTTTAGGAGGTCACTGAAGGCTTTTGTGGATGTCTAGCTTTTCTCAGACACCAGAGGGAAGTGAGGATCAGGTTGGAGACATGCAACAGCATTGCAAACAATGTCCCCCAGTCATACCCCTAGTGACAGATTTACATGTTAGAGAGGATTGCCTCCTAATGTGATAGATATTAGACTAATGTGATAGACAGAGTTTTTGGCTTTCTCGGTGTTTGCCCTTGGGATGCGGGCAGGACTGGCTTATCCATGGTTCAGTTGGTGAAATTGCTGTAGCCCCAATATATCTATCACATACATCTCCATTTCCCTCTGCTACCCAATTTGTTAGTTCATCTTCCTTACAGTCATAGACCAGCACAGGTAAAAAGGGGATACAGAATAAAAGAAGAGAATGGTAAAATCAAGGTAAAAGCTGGGTAACAACCAGGTAAAAACGCAGATTGAAAATAGTATAGCCTCAAGAGGATTCCCGCCATTTGCTGTTGGGGATACAGAATGAAAGATGGTAATGGTAAAAGCAAGATAAAAACAAGATAAAAGCCAGGTAAAAGCAGCATTTTTCTCCATATGACACCCATGGCTGCATGCATCCCAGGGGAGAGTCCTCCATAGGATTCCCATGGCTGCATGCATCCCAGGGGAAAGTCCACCATAGGATTCCCATGGCTGCATGCATCCCAGGAGAGAGTCCTCTATAGGACACCCATGGCTGATGCATCCCAGGGGAGAGTCCTCAATGTGACACCCATGGTCATCAAGCTCTGAATGGAGGGCATTTTGGAATTCTTCCTGGACAGAAGGTTGGAATGTAGGATGGGTCCTGGGAAAGGAGATCAGGGGGGAAATGGTGGATTTCCCCAAAAACTAGTGAGGGATGGGTTTCTGGTCATGGCACCCATGACTCCTTCCTGTGTTTTCTGGTGTCACCGATGACACATAGATGATTGACAGGCATTTTGAAGGGGCACAAACTAGCGGGAATGACAATCGTGTCAAAAAAACAGAAGCAAATAAAGAAAAGACCTGCTTCCATAGTGGGAATGACGCATGGACTGGAATCGATTCACCAACCCGGAGCGAAAGAAATCACAAACCGGGTTAAATGTAAGTGGGAATGAGCCCATGGTTTTCAAGAAGGATCCGACTTTGCTGCAACTCCAATTGCATCACTACCTAAATGGAGCAGAGTGTGCCTTGGATGGAAAGCACCCACTCTTGGTTTATCACCACAATGAACTAATTTCTGTTACTGTTCTTGAACAGGGTGGAGTTGGTGGCATTCGTGTTTCTGGACTAATACAGGCAAGGCAGAAAAACCAGAGCCCTTTGTAGAGACAGATAATGACTTCTCAGCTTTTGTCATGTCACTCACCATCATCCAGATGCTATTCTCCTTCATCAATTTATTGGGAGAATTGCAAGCATTGCTGATCATGCAACCATGGAAACATATTTTTTCCTGTTCCTTCCATTTATTAACTGTTGCTCACTGGGAGTCAGAAAATATTTGACTTCAGTTTAAACAAAATGAAACAAACAAAAAGAGGCATGGTTCCTAAAGAGTTATGGCAGCAGAATAGTGACTGGGAAAAATAAACTGATTAAACTTCTTGATGCTACATATCTGCTAGTCCTCCCAGGGAAAGTCTGGAAAGTCTATCAGTGTTGTAGATAGATCTCCAAAGATCGGCTTTGAAAGAGGAGGAAAGATTAGCCAGGTGAAGCAACTAAATTTCTCAATGACAATAATGGAATAATGCAAGATGTTAAATATATCTGGCAATATATGAAACTTATAGACCAGACAAATCTCAATTAGATGGGTGCTCATTCATTCCTGACTTGTTATGAGTAGGAAATTCAGAAATTCCTTAAAGTGTACAGTTATCATAGATAGAAATCCCTCTCTTGGATCTGTTGGGACCAACTGCCTTAAAACACAAAAGCAGTATAGAAGTTCTTGCATTTTCCGTTCTGTCCCCACAATGTCAAACTTTAGACATTGCAATGACCAAAATTCAGAGATAGGATGTTCCAGAAGCTGTTTTCTCAGCGGTATCAATGGAGCGGATCTGGTGCCAGGAGAAGAGCCAAAGAAAGTGAGGCTTTCAGTAGACCCAATGGTATGGCTGATTCTGTCTCTCCCTCTACTATAGCAATGCAGCTTGTCATTCTCATTAGTTTAAAGATACTGGAACCCCAAATCCCCCAAGTAATGAAAAGGCAAAATTGCATAAGCATAATAAATACTACCACCAATTATTTCAGATTAAATAGAGTTAGGGTTCCCAGATCTCAGGGTCTGGCCCTTTTATCCAGTCTGAAGACAAGAGGAAGGAACCTCAAAGCAAGAGAACTGCAGCCAACAGTGTGGCTGCATATATTTTCTTCATTCTTTTACCCAATATTTTTCGATATGATTGGCTTACTCTGAGCATCTGTGGCTGCTACTTAACATATCATGCTTCATGACGGGACTTCAGCTTTTAACTGGTTGAAATAGTGCAATGGGTTGTGCCAGTTTTTAATTTGCAACAGGTTTTAATAATTTTAATATTTATTGAAATATCAATTAATATTAATAAAATATTTAAAATATTAATTAAAATAAATAAATGTTGTTTTTAATATTTATTTATTCATTTATTTTGTATTTCAGTGTTTTAGCTGCATTGTTTTAATGTATGGTATAAGCTGCTTTAGGTCCTATATGTTAGAAAAGTGGAAGAGGGAGAGAGAGAGAGAAAGGAAAGAAAGAAAAGAAAGAAAGAAAGAAAGAAAGAAAGAAAGAAAGAAAGAAAGAAAGAAAGAAAGAAAGAAAAAGACATCACCAAGGTTTGCCCCGGATACAGTCCCTTTTGAAACATCACAAGAGATCATCTCTAGGCCTCAAATTTTGGACATGAAATCACAAGCCCTGCACTAATCTTGACCTGGCAACCCGCAATAAAGTATTATAGATAGATATATAGATAGATAGATGAATAGATAGATATAGATATAGATATAATGCAAGATTTTAAATATAGAGATCAAGTGTGTGCAAAGATAGCTCAAAAGCATAGCATTAACAGACATAGATGTGATTTATTTTATTTAATTGCAGGCAAGCACACCTCATTTTTTCTACATGAACAATACGAAAAGGCCTAGCAGATTGTGTAGCTCTGTTGTTAAAGCATTCTAATCTCCAGGATTTGTTTTATTCTGTTTCTTGTCTTCATTTTAATCCAGAGAGCTGTGCCAAACAGCAACAAGCTTGTATGCATTTGCTCTATCTCTTGCACCAGAAACAGTATGAGTTTCATTTAAAAAAAAACAACAAAAAACACCAAAAACCCAACCTTTGGCTGGGCTTAGGATCTAAGGCTTTTTTTAATTTTAATTCATTACTATTACATCACCCATTTGGAACGGAAAGCTGTTGCAGCTGCTTGTGCCGTGAGAAGGGGATTTAGGTTAGTATCATTATTATTGTTAAATAAAACATTTTTTAAAATTATTTCTTTTTTGGTTCCATTCTTGCAGGGCAATTTTCTTTTAAACATCGACGAACTGTATGGTAAAGAGCTTTTGGAGGAGAGCAAAGGGACCGAAGAGAATGGCACAGTTTTCTCCACCGTGTCTTTGAAAAAAGAAAGAAAAAGAAAGACTTAAGGGGAAGAAATAGCCCCATTACCCTGAATATCTTCTAGTTACTGTAGTGAAGCATGAAAAGCAAAGCACACTGTCCTAGTAATGGCAGATGGCATATTAGAGGGAAAAAGAAAAGAAAAGAAAGGACGGGTCAGACTCAGAGACATTTATTCCATTTCTGACCTCAGAAAAGGCCGCTGTCCTAATTAGTCCAATAGTAGCTCACAATTAAACGGATGGCAAGGAAAATGAGTGCATTTCCTAGACCAGCTGACAGTGGAGCGCCAGCAAATTATTAATTTATTTGCAGATAAATGACAGAGTGCTGGTGGCTTGC